TTCAGCAGGGGTCCAACGTTGCCCCTGCTTTTCCTTCCTCTTAAATCAGTTAAGTCTGATACTACATTCAACCAAGTTTATCTTAAACCAGTTTCAGCCATTTTGAAACTGGTTTATGTGCACTGAACTTCAGTTCTGTTACAGGTTTAAACCAGTTTCTTATGACTTGACTGATTTATGTGTAACTTCTGTCCCTAGCCCTAGGCAGTGGTTCTCATCCCTTTTAAATTCAGGGCGCCCCTCAGAAAATGCCAGCTCTTAGTTTTTACTTGGGGAATTGTGTTGCAGAGAACGTGGACCATAGCAGGTCAGCATGTTCCTGACACTCTGCATTCCTATTTGAAATCTCTGGGTTTATCCTGTGAATTGTGTGTAAGTGTAGGTGTTTGCACATCAAACAGTGCTAGTATTGCATATCACCGTCTCCCAGCACCCTTTAAAGGATGTCATGGCACCCCAGGGAGCAGCAGCACCTTGGCTGAAAATCATGGCTTTAAGATGTATAAAGCTTTCCAACCTGCATTTTGACCTCAGTAAATGACTTACGCAAGGTAAGAACAGGTATGGGGAGAATGGAAGTAAATCTGGAGGCTGTGAGGAGACCCCAGAATGAGAGTTTCTCTGCTTTCTGTCACAGGAAATAATGAAAGAGGACGTGTGCTGTGAGCCTGTTGCCATGGACAGTGAAGACTTGCTATTTCTTCTTTACACATCAGGCAGTACTGGCAAACCCAAGGGGCTGGTCCATTCTCAGGCAGGCTACTTGCTCTACGCTGCCCTCACACATAAGGTAGGATCCTAGAAAATTATGGCTGGAAGGGATCTCACAAGGTCATCTAATCCAGTATGACTAAACCATCCCAGCCCAGATGGTAATGAGGGCCCAGTCATGCATGGTGGGGTTATCAGTTTCCTCATGCACATAGACAGCAGGTTGATTAGGACTACCAACCTGCCATGCCAACCACAGGAATTAAGCTACTTGAGCTAGAGAAGAATCTCTGGGCAATGTGGCTAAAGGTCAGTGCCACCACTAGGACCAGAACAGATCTGAGTCCAGGTAGCAGGGCATGTTCTCGAGCAGAGCTGGTGCCCAGTTGTGCTGCAAAGGCAGAAACCTGGGGGAGGGGATGTTCTGTGCTCCACATGGCCCAAATAATGACAAACAGCACAAGGTTTGAGGGTGGGAAGGAGCAGATGTCAACATCAATATGACTACTATATTTAGTTGTTTGTGGCTCTGTCTTTTCCCCGCTGTATTCGGAGACCGTCAGATCAGGCAGTGCATTACTCCCCAGCAAAAGAAAGCATTGTTAGGACATCAAGTCACCTCCATCTGTGTGAGGAGACAGGGGAAACAGCCCCTGCCTTTTCCTTCTGTGCATATGCTCTGTCCCAGTTCAGTCAGTGATCTGCTTACAGGCCTAGAGGGGGAATAAGGGCATACTTACAGAGAGAGAAAGGTGTTCAAGGGTGAAAGCTCTGTTCCTGGTGGTAGTTTATAAAGCATTTAAGATTGGGGGTTGCCACCCAAATGGAACAAAGTATCTTTCAGAAAAGGTGACCTCAGATACAGACCACGATATTACTGCTTTTTAGATACATGGCGAAGAGTACATTATAAAAACATAGTGGAACACTTAGATGAATTTAACATATTCCAAATATTCACCCATCTTTCCTGGATTCTGATAACATTTCAAATGCAGATGTTGACATAGAGTTGTCTTCTTCATTATTTCTAGTATCAGTGTAGTCTAGCATGTTCATTAGTGTTTTTTATCTGACATTTTATTCAAGTCACTAGGGAGGCCCTGGACAAACCCCCAGAAAACTGGGGATGATACTGGGAGCTAATTGTTATTAGCCAGGTTGTACCACGCTTAAGTTTCTGACACAGAAGCACTGGCTGCCAACTTTCCCAAGAAAGGGTAGGGGATGGAGGAGTCGGCTCCTGAGAGCAGAAGCTGAAAGCAGGGGCTACTCCTCCTAAGCAAGCATGTGGGGAGCAGGCAACACCATCCAATTCCAAAATGTCCATTTGAGCTCTACTTACCTCTGGAAGACATAACCCAGA